ATGTAATTATTAGATGTAGCTTTCTCATCCTATGAAGTTTTAAAATTCTTCTTCACTGATACTATGCCCCTTGCTCTTCAGAATTTCTGTTACTTCTGTGTAACCAATGTAATGAGTTGCAGTTTCTCTTTTTTACTTACAGTTCCCTTTAGAAAGTACATAGACATGATCATTATTTTATAATTGATATAGTATTTTACTTGGTGTGTGTGTGTGTGTGTGTGTGTGTGCGTGCGTGTGTGTTGTGTGTGTGTGTGTGTGTGTGTGTGTGTGTGTGTGTGTGTGTTCTGTGTTCAGGGGTCCTCAGAGGCCAGAAAAGGGTATTAGATCCCTCATAGCTAGAGTTACAGGGGTTGTAAACTACCCAAGTGGATGCTGGAAACTAAACTCAGGTTCTCTGCAAGATCAGCAAGCATCATAATGGCTGAGCCATCTTTCCAGCCCCCTCTTACAGTATTTTATAGCATATTATTAAATTGCACATAATAGTTGTCCTCTGTAGTATGCTTAACTCTCCTTCATTGAATGGAAAACAGGACTTCCTTGATCCTTTCAATGTGCATAGCATGTGGCCTCCAAATCTATACAACCAGTATTGGGGTAAATAAATATATACAAATGCAAATGAAATGAATGCTAGGCTCTTAAGGGCTAAACCATGATAGACACATACTAGCTAACTACTTTCTTGTCCATTTCTTTCATTTTTGTGCTCAACCAGCACCATATGACATGATACTACTTCTTTTTTCCTATATCCCATTTTCCCTTTATTTCTTGAAGTCTTTTTTTTTTTTTTTTTTTTTTTTTTTTTAGAATATGACCTCGAAAAGATTTTTTTCAGAGACACTGGTATAAATAATATTACTTATATACAATAATAGTTTTGGTTAGGTTTAGTGGCATACACCTATAATTCCAGCACTCAGAAAGCTGAGGTAGGAGACCCACAAGTTCAAATTTATACTGAGCAACATAGCAAGGCTCAGACCAGCCTTGCTCTTAGGCAAACCACATCTCAAAAAACAATGGCTGAAAATTATTGGTGTTCAGTTTCTAAGGCTCATATATTCTGTATATCAGTAGCTCCTTGGTTGTTGTCACTATTAGCAATTTTTGAATAATAAAATACTTGGATGCCTAAGTATTCTATTCTAAAAGATTAATGATCACAAAGGCAAGAATTCATGTGATATGAATATATATGTCCATATACACACATATAAACAAACATATAATTTATAGGATGTACTCCATGATTTATTGAGATATTTTTAATTGTAAATTAAAGTTTTAATGTCAAAAGCTATTTAAATTTAGGGTTGAAACATGATATATGTAAGATGAAATGAGTAAGACTGTAATACTAGGAGCAACTAAAATGAACAGTAAGCAAAAATATTCTAAAAAGTGCCATTTGCTTTTATAACATGGTATATAAAATGACTTTCCTTTAAGTAAAAATGTTTCCAAATTTTAAAATTACATTTTAAATTCTTATCTATTATAAATTTCTTGACATGTTTGTGGGGTTCCCAACAGATAAAACTCAGTTGTATATAAAAAAAAGGATAGTATAGAAGAAAAGAAAAACATGTAAAATAAAATCTGATTTTTAAAATCATTAAATGAGATGTTTGACATGACCTGTAGATGGAATTGATATTAAAAATAAAAACATTTTATCTGGAAAAAAGATATTTAAATGGTTAACACAAATATGTACTATTTAAAGCTAAGATTATATATAAACTGTGATGAAGTAATTCATTCTACTATTTGTTACAGAGAAAAAGTATTTCCAAATTTTAAAATTGTATGTATAGAATAAATCAAAACCATAAAAAATAGAGATACTACTGACTTAGAAGAATCTGGAAATTAGTTATAAATGTTTAATTGGGTCACTATAGGAAATTCAAATTTAGAAACTCTTTATAGACTGAAATCTTATAGCCCATTTATTCATCCTGCAAATATTTACTGTTTAAGATGTGTAAGCATTAAAAGAATACAATGAAAAATAAAGCATGGACTTTGCCCTCAAGGGGCTTACAGTCTATTGTGGAAAATATAAATAAACATATTGATAGCTGTAACATAAGTTAGAAAGTGATGGGTCATGAGAAAACTCAGATAATAAAGTATGGAATTTATTAGCATCCACAGATATATTCCTTTTGTAGTTTCTAAGTACTGAATGAAAACAGACCAATGATCAATTTGAAAATAAAATGTCAAATTTTGTGAATCCATTGATGAAAAACATCCAAACTTTCAATATTAAAGCAATTTAATTCACTATCCATCAGTTCTTTAGAATGGTAAACACAAATTAACAACCCATTAGAAATAGCATTGTGCCACTGTTTACAAGTAGACACAAGCAGAATATCTTCTTAATCAGGTCTGAAATGATCATTTCCATCACTAAGGCCTCACATACTCATGACACATTACTTTCTTGCACAGAAATTGGCTCAGTCATATTAAAGAGATGAAGAATTCCTCGATGGCTCAAGTGTGCTCCAAGGAAAGCTAGAAGGTTGTACAGTTAACTCCCAGGGTGTAACTCTAAACCATACAACCTACTACCTCAACCCGGATGCACACAGCTTCCAATGTTGCTTCAAACTCCTTATCATATCTTCAGTCAGCTTCTCCAAATATGGTGGCCAAATACCTAAGGGCTTGGCAAGGTTGTAGATAGAATATTCTAGTGGTTTACCAATCAACTTCAATTGTATCTTACAGGACTACCCCATCTGTTGGGTTTATGGCATAGGTCACATAAAACACATTCTGACATCTCGTTTGCCATACTTCCACTAACAGTGAGTAAGTTTAAAAGTCAGTAGCATTAGGCCTCAATTTTGAAGAGAAACAGGCTCAACTGTAACATAAAAATCCAGTTATAGACTTTCCTCTGCTGTTGAAGTGGACAAGGCACATTAACTAACGGAGAATGTGCTGTAGTTTCTCAACAACAGCTATTCAGATCTTGCTCAAAGCCAGCTATTAAAAAAACACCAACCTTTTGAAAGCAGTTTATTGCACTTGAATTCAGCCTTGAATGGCTGTGCTACAAATAATTTCAGGAAGCCAACAATTAAAGCTTGTCTTGTAAGACATATGAGGATTAATATATAACATGAAGAACAAAGTAATTATGATTGTTTCAAGGCTACGTAAAAAACTGAAGTGTTAACAGGATTGTACTGAAATGTAACTGAGCAGCACTCTACATAGTGTTTTGTCAGATTACCACACTGCCACAGACCCATAGAAACGAGCTTGTGCGGTCCACTTCACCACAAGATCGGATCTACGGGTTTATGCCAATGGGCATCATCTCACATGGACTCTCTAATAATGTAGCATTTGCTCTAAACATCTAATGCAATTAGGGGATAAAAATAATATTAATATTTTAGTTTAAATATTTTAAAGGCTGTACTCTCAGGATGCATATTCCCAGTTAAAGACCTTCATAAATACGCTGACCTGAATACAGGTTTATAAACATGAGGATTAAAAAGTAGTTTCTCAAGTTTTTTTTCCTTTTTTTTAGATTGCTTTTGTTTTAATTGTGAATATTTTAAACTGTTCTAATTAAGAATCCATATATATATGAATTCAAATATATATATGAATTATGCTATTATGAAGCATGGATGTAATCTAAATTAAAAAGAAATTAATTATTCAATTAATTGTATATGCACTAGAGTGCTTGTATTCATTCACGTAAAGTCTTAGTTATGATTTTAAGGATTTATAGTGACATTATACCTTTCATAAAACAAATAAGATCTGGTTGATAAAAAACGCAAAAATCACAATCCTAAATACATAGATATGTGTCTACAGTTGAGATGAAACTAGGCTTTCCAGTATAGAAAAAAAAATGGTATTAGAACACTAAAATCAGTGACATGGTGAGTGTGTCATTATTGCTTTTTGGTACCGTTTGTGTTCACTTGTACCACATCAAAGAGCATACAGTCTCCTTCAGCAAAATCGATTTAAATTTATTTTCCAACAAAATTATATCTTTTAAAACAAAATATACACTTGCCTATAACTCTCCTGTGTTCAACAGGTTGAAATGAAATAAATTAGTCTTAATTTTGTGAACTATCAGACTGTAAGGGAGCAAGCCAGTGAGCACATTACAAAACCAGTTCCATGTACTTTTTTAGGATTCTAAGCTCATCTGCAGCAAAATTATAAGTTGCACAATCATTAATCATTTTCTCCTATAAAAATGATTTAGCTTTTCCTAATTATATCTGCATTGTGAAAAATAATACTGCATAGTAATTACTTCATGATTTGGCATGTTTTGAAATAAATAAAAATAGAATGTATTTTATAGAGTTTAATACAGATAATTTGGTATACACAAATTTTCACTATTTATTTTCAAATCATTCTCCTACTTAATCAAACTATAGTAAATAATCAACAATCATGCACCCGCTTGTAGTGAAAGTATTTCACCATATATTATATATTTCATGTGAAAAAAGAGGAAACACTGGTTGCAGTTTTTGTTACTTCAAAATTAGCTTTGGCTTTATTGTCTTGCTAGATATACTGAAAAGATTAAAAAGCAAATCATAAGTTTAAACCTTTCTCCCAGATTTTACTTCCTTTTATAAGGTATAACCACTGAAAACATATTTTTCTTTCCATTAAATGGCTTCCTATTCAGTCATCTTGTACCTGTGTTGTATGAATCAGTATACACATATGTGCTCAGAATGATGGCAACTGGGGCATTGATCACAAAACCACACAAGAACATTCACAAAGGCAAGTCATGCTGTAAACTCTTGAAGGAAAATAAAAATCCCAATAGCTTCTCCATAAAGGAGTACAAGCGAACACAGTCAGAATAATTTTCTCTTTAAAATATTGTAGATTAATTATACTTTAGACTTGTGCTTTCTTTCTTTCTTTCTTTCTTTCTTTCTTTTTTTTTTTTTTTTTTTTACCTGAGATGGTTTTCTCCTATGGCCATTCTCTTCTCTTCTGATATCCACTTTAAGGGTTCCCCTAAAACAACCACAAAAGGAAGACATCAGACAGCTGCCACCTAGGAGGAGCCTCGGTATGGATTCTGAGAATGAAAGTAGATGGGGCCGAGAAGAAAGCCCAATGTCGAAATGGGAAAACCCTTACAAGTATTTTTCTTAAGGCTTGGCAGATTCCGAGGGCCCCACCCCAGGACACTCATAGGACACAGAAATACTTTCACAGTTTGCATTTATGTGTTCATTTTGGTTGGCGTTGCTTTCACAGTAACAGTTTTGAAAGTGAAAGGACATGGTTCTCAAGGAAGCGACTAGGTTCTACACAATGAAGTAGTGAGAGCTGAAAAGAGGTTTGGATTTGGCATGGAGCTTAATAAGATAATTAGGAGTGTGGAGATTAATGGCTCCTAAAATAACATTCAAAATAATGTTTTTTAACTAAAGGATCTTGAAACATGAAAACAGGTTTATCAATATTAATTAAGCCTTTGAAAGTTGGCTTTACCATTAACACAATGGAGGAACAGGAGCTGTTCTGTAAATAATTAGTGAACAACAAGGAATAAAGTCAATAAAACATTTTATTCAAATGTTATCTATATATAAGGTCCGTGTACCATCTCATAATTCTTTGCCAGATAACCAAAAAGAACACAGAATTAGCCAACTGTATATTTCTCTTTGTTTATCCTCTGTGTTTCTGATATCATGAAGTATGATTTTAAAAGCATAACGATTTTTCTAAAGTTTATTTCCCATGGATGATATTACCATATCAATTCTTACTATGAAAATTATAATCTTGATACACACTGCATATTCCAAAGCATTTTCTCTTTTCAGAATTTTCCCTACATATTTAGAAATATTTTTTAAATAAAAAAATTTAAAAGTAGATTATATCATCTACTCCTTTCCCACTGAACCAAGAAAAACTGCATTTTGTCACAAAATGTTGAACTTGCTTAGCAATTTCCTTCTACACAAAGACAAAATATTTAGAATGCAATGTTCACCTGCCGAACCAAAGCAGCTCTGAACTTGAAACAAGTTTGTACAGACTTTCCCGACCGAAACAGTGAAGGGCAGCTTCCAACACTTTGCAACCGCTCCTGGGCAAATTCTTTTTCCGTGTATTTTTAGAAGTAGAATTATTAAGGAACAAACTATTTTGTACTTAGCAACCGAGAATACGCTCTTCCCATCCCCATTTCTCCTCTACTGCAATCCCTATAAGCAACTCCCCCTAAACTAATTTTATTTAACATTATTTGGGTACATTTTTCAAGCAAGATCTCTTTACAGAACTAGAGAAGTTTCTTCCTTTGCATTTCAAATTATGAGTCACAGAAAAGATGTTACTTCCTTTGCTACTGAATTCTAAACCCTTTTCTCCGCCAAAAGTATAACTGGACACAAGAAAATCACAGATAACACATTGCTGTTTCTCTAAAACTTTCTATGCTCAAGAGCAGGAACATGATTCTATAGAGAGTTTTCTATTTTTCAGTTTCGTGTCTATGCTAACGATTAGAGTAAGAAAGCAAAGGAAAAAAAAAGTGTAAAGTGGGTGGTGAGTTAGGAAGAGTGAACTGAGAGTGTAAGGTCCCTGATTTATGTAATAGAAAGCATAAAAGGAAACAACAAAACTTATACCTGATATGAAAGTGCAGGTTCACCAAGTGCAAAAAACTGCTCTTAGCCCATAGTTTTTGAAATAATAATAATAAAAAAATAAACAAATGTAAAGAAGGCTCATTTGGCTGTGTTGCCTTCCAAGCTGCTTTACAAAGCCCGATGTCTCAGGAGTTAGACAAGCCAAAGTTTGCTGGTTTTGGTTTGTTTTGGTTTGCGTTTTTGTTTGTTTGTTTGTTTGTTTGTTTTTGTTTTCGAGCAGGCGCATCTCATCATGATCATTATTTTCCAGCACTCTTGCAAGTACTGAGAAGTCTGGGTTTTTTTATGTTGTTTTATATGTTGCTGTTTCTTCAGGGCTCCTTAATTTCTCAGCAAAGGAGGTCCAGAGAGGGCTTGTCATCATTCTCTTCCATCTCCGTATTCCAGGCACAAAGCACTACGCAGAAGCTGTACCAATCCTTGCCATCAACTGGCAGCAGGGTGGGAGAAGGTGGGAGAGACCCGGAATCCTTCCAGGCTGAGCTGACTTGAGAAATGAGGACTGCACACGTTTGCCTCCCGAACCGAAGGGGTGAAAAGGCTGGGTGCCAGTTTGCTAGTCGGCTGAAATGATCTCATGCTCTCTGCTCTGTCGTCCTGTTCGACCAGTTCAAATGCCTGTTCATTATAAACCAAATACATATATAAATAAATAACCCAACTACTTGGATTCTTCAGTAACCAAAAAGGGTATTAACATGAAAATTTTAAAAAATAAGCAGTCAGAAAAGGGCGTGGGGGAAGCACGTACAATTTTAGGATTCACTTGCTATGCCTCAATATTCTGTTATTATTTTCCTTTTTCTCTCTCTCTTTCGAGATAAGCAGCAGAATTTATCAGGCGTGAAAGGGACAGCCTCCTGGTGGCCTGCCAAAAACCCCGAATAAAGGCGAAGTTGTGCTTCAAAGCTCAGTTGCTTGCTGAGTCTGGCTAAAGTCAAGTATTAAGATCCACCATTTTCTGATCCTTGCTAGAAAAGAAGAAAAAAGTCAGGCCCGCTGCTGCTTCCAAGTCTCCGTTGGCACCATCACAAAATCTCAGTCGTCAGGTCACATGATTCTCTGCCAAATGTAGAGTGAGTGCATTCCCATCAACCATTCTGCTGATACTGCGAAGGCAGCTATTGTCTCCTTTAGACCCAAAGTTCAGCCCACTCTTCATTGAATTAGCTGAAAAACGCATCACCTTTGGGGGCTGGGAGTCATGGAAACGTCTACCTGGCAAGCTGCCCACTTTTTCTGCCCATCAACCAGAGATGGGATTGTGCTGCCTAACGCAGTGATGACTTGGAATGTGAAGAGTCGTCCAAAGTGAATCTGATTCTTGCAACGCCTGTTTCATTTGCACAGAAAACTGCCTTGTAGTTAGGGGAGGAGAGAGAGAGAGAGAGAAAAAAAAAAATCTTTCCCTACTAAAAGTAGCAAATAAAGGTCTGAACATGCCTACTTTGCAACTTTATTTCTCAACACACCCAAACGGTTCTCAAATGAGAAGACTGAATGCCCCGTGAATTTTCTTCAGTAAGGACATCTCCAGTGTTTTCTTTACCGTGAATACAACAAACCCAGGACATTTGTTTTATTCTCCCACTTTAAGACTTCAAAACAAAACAAAAACTCAGAGTTTTCTTTTCTTTCTTTTTTCTTTCGCATTTTTATTGCTTTCTGATTTTATCTAGCACCAATTTTGTACTACATGGCCACTAACAACAGAGATGCATTATTGCTACTATCTCCAACAAAGTGGTCCCCGGAGAGGCTGGGTTGTCTCTTCCAGCAGGCAAATGCCTGCAATTGGGTCTTGTGATAATCCCCGTCACTACCTAGCACAGCTGCTGTGCAAGTTTGCTGAGAGTGACACATGTGAGAAGTGGTCTTTCTGTTCTTTCACAGGCCACGGTTTGCCTGTGTGGCATGAAAGATGCCTTTGAAAGATGCAGGGAGTGTATCAACAACTCTTAGGCAATAAAATGAACGGTTTCCCCCTCCCTGGTGAGTTTCCATTCTAGCAGGCAATGGGAGTTCCCATGCACAAACATTTCCATATTTTCTAACAAAAGTGGAGTGAATTCAATTTTATATTTCCTTAAGCAGAATCTAAAGCCAAAGAGGAAAGTAAGCATTGCTAATATTTAAGCCAAAGACATAGAGCACAATTTAAAAGATCTATACTTTCATACTCCATTGAAAATTTTCTAGTGATTATATCTAAAATAATGTTCACAACAAGTCTAAAATTATGTTCAGTTCCTAATCTGAAAAATAGATCTGCATCCCTCTCTAGGAATACACACACAATAAATAATATTTGACAATTCAAACCATGACTTGCCTAAATATTATTTGTGAAAGTCAGAGAACTAGGAAACCTCCTATCAATGGTTTCAAAGGATATTATCTTATTCATGAGGTCACTTTAGGAGCAGCAGGGGTGAGTATCACATGCACATATGGGAAACATCATGGAATCCTGCCTGTCTGTAATTGAAAATTGCACGCAGTTCTACACAGTAGAACATGACCTTAAACATGTGCTGAATTTTGCAATTGCTTTTTCCTAGATTGAAAAATTCTGGGCAAATTTTGTCACAGCTCTAACCACATACCTCACAAGTGTTGAGGGGGAGAATTGTGCATGATAAAGGTATAGCCCTTGAGTTGTAAGACTGCACAAAATAAGTAACAAATATAAAATGGAAAGTTTAAATTCCTAGTGACTGTTCCATTTTGCAGCAATTAAGCACTAGCGTTTGGTAGGTCTTGCAATAGGCTCAGGGGAATAACAATAAGCCAAATGGATAAGACTCCCATGGGGTGTCATTCAGTAACTACTTTGAAATGAGAAAAGCTCACTACAAAACAGAAGGAAGATAGTATCCAAAGGAAATTTATTATAGAGAGACTCTTCATGAAGCAAGCAGGAAGAAATTGAAGAATCTAAGTAAAATGCATATTAAATATAAATTACAGATAGAAATATTTCAGTTTGAAGTTTCCCCTTTCAGTAAAAAATTAATTAGTTTTTAATATTTTTATGTTTAACTTGCATAAAGACACTAATGGAGTTATATGGTGGGCTCCCAATTCCAAAAGAAAGAAAAAGAAAGTGGGAATTTGTGTAGCGTGAATTCTAAATGGTCTTAATAATAAAAACCTGGAGTCAGATATCAGGGTAAAAGCTGAACGATCAGAGAAGCAGAACAGTCAGTCCCCAGAAAGACTTCTTACCTCTAAGAATCTTCAGACGGAAAGAGCCTAGCTCCCATCCCCACCCACCCTGCCTTATCACTTCATTTCTCCATCCAGCTATATCACTTCCTGTTTCCTCCTTCCAAGTGCTGGGATTAAAGGTGTGAGCCACCACTGCCTGGCCTCTAGTGGCTAGCTCTGCACTCTGATCTCTAGGCAAAGCTTTATTTGTTAGAGCACAAACAAAATATCACCACAAATTTGCATTTAGAAACATGGAATGAACATGGGTTTTCTAATCTTCTATTAAAAACTGCTAATATCTCTAGAGAATAAAACAGATAGCAGGAGACTGTGATGGGTGAAGAGAAGACGGTAAGAAAGCTGGAGACTCAGGATCTAAGGACTGGCATGCTGGTGAGTTCCTTCACCTTTGCTTTTGCTGGATCTCTTTAGCATTGTGATCAGGAAAACAGTGTGGTCCATAAGGACATTAATTGTTGGGATATTGCCAATATCTATAGTCAAATACCAAATAAGGAACTGTTGTCAATTTCAAACCCATACTTACAAATGTCAACATGAAGCCTAGATGCTGCCATGTCAAGCTCAAATAAAGTGCCCTGATGCCCTTTCCCAAACATCCTAGAAATAGTCTAAGACAAGTCTAAGGAAGGGTTAAGAGAGATGGTATTGGGGGAAGGGAGCAAATGAAAACCAAGTATAATCACACACACACACACACACACACACACACACACACACACACACACACACACGGAAATCTTGTACACTGTGAAGATGTATCTTTGCCAAGGTACCTTCTGATTGGCTTCATAAAGAGCTGAATGGCCAATAGTTTGACAGGAAGAGGTTAGGCCGGACTTCCGGGCAGAGGAAAAAAGAGATGAATCTAGGGGTAGGAGACAGAGAAGAAACAGGAGCTGCAAGATGGAAGAGAGGTAAAAGGCCACAAGACAAAATGTAGATTAATATAAATGGGTTAATTTAAGTTATAAGAGCTACTGGGACAAGCCTAGGCTATCGGCCAAGCTTTCCTAAGTAATAATAAGTTTCTCTGTCACGTTTTGGGGACTTGCAGTCCAAGAAAGTCTGCTACACGCTCACGTGTACACACATAAACACATACTCACACAAAAGATGCCATGGTGAAAATAATTTATTTCATGCTAACCTAAAAAATTGATGAAATAAAAACACAAGTCTATAAAATAAATCTCAAAACATTAACAGTTAAAAATCACACGAAGGAGCCGGGCGGTGGTGGCGCACGCCTTTAATCCCAGCACTCGGGAGGCAGAGCCAGGCGGATCTCTGTGAGTTCGAGGCCAGCCTGGTCTCCAAAGCGAGTTCCAGGAAAGGCGCAAAGCTACACAGAGAAACCCTGTCTCGAAAAAACCAAAAAAAAAAAAAAAAAAAAATCACACGAAGGTGGTACATTGTTTGTTTAAATATTTATTCATTTTCAAACAGTCTTGTTATGCACTTAAGTTTTCTGCAAATTCATAATCCTCTTGTTTCTATTTTTTGACTACTGAGGTTTCAAGAGCGCATCACTTCACCTAGATTTCACGAAGTGTTTTTTGTTTTTTTTTGTTTTTGTTTTGTTTTTTTTGTTGTTGAAATGCTGAATTGCTGAAATGCTGAATTGCTGAAATGCTCTCAAACTAGACATCAATTAACAGAAAAGTACTAGGCTATTTCCAAATACTTTGAAAATACAAGCACTGGGCCGAGCTCTGGGATTCCTGCTGAAGAGAGGGAGGAGGGATGGTATGAGCCCGTGGGGTCAAGGTCACTACAGGGGAACCCACAGTGACAGCTGATCTGCTGCGCTCATGGGAACTCAGGAACTCTGGACTGACAGCTAGGGAGTCTGCCTGGGACCAGCCTAGGCCCTCTGCATGTGTATGAGAGTTACATAGCTTGATCTACTTGTGGGGCTTCTTGCTTGAGCTGGATTTAAGGAACCTATCCTCCCTGCTGGGTTGCCTTGCCCAAACCTTGATGCAGAGGGAGGAGCTTGGTCCTGCCTCAACTTGATGTGCCATGCTTTGTTGACTCACATAGGAGGCCTTACCCTTTCTGAAGAGAGAGAGAGGAGGAGTGGATGGACCTGGGGTACATAGGAGGTGGGGGAAGGGAAACTGTGGTCTGTATGTAAAATAAATGAAAACGTTCAATAATAATAATAATAACAATAATAATAATAATAATAAGAAGAAGAAGAAGAAGAAGAAGAAAATACAACATGTTTAAGTAATCCATGGGTTACAGAGGAAGTTTTAACCAAGACAAACAAAAAGAAACCATAAAAACATAACAGAAAGAAAGAAAAACTGAAAATGTAACATATAAAAATTTGTGGGATGCCTCTATAGTAGTGTTCAGAGGGAAATTAATATCAG